ATTCCTTTCAGGCACTTAAAAGTGAGTAATAATAGGTGTTCCTTCCACCTATCATTTAACCTATTCCATCCTAAATCATCCATTAAATCCTTGATGGGTGTTTTACAGTAATGTCGACTGAAAGAATAATTCTTCCTAACCTATTCTGGAGAATTTGGAGCTCATTTAATAATGCATTTATCTAGGTAAACCTATTCCAAGGTGCACACACTGGTACTGGTATTGGGTATTTATATTGCGCCTTTCCTTGCGGTTATGAAGCGCAAGCCAAGCCTCAATAATTCAGGAAAACAATGGTAGGCATAAAATCAGTCATTAATCAGGAACACAAACATACTAAACATGGAAAATCAAAAAAACAACATTATAAAAGTACAATGAAAAAAACAATTTCTTTCATGAAGAGGTTGGTCTTTGCGAAAATTCTACCATTGCATATTTCCCTTACATTTTCATCTTTACTAATTATTTTATTTACTCCCTTAATAATTCTTTGTGTCTACTGGGCTAAGAATTAACTATAAGGCCCCACCCACTCTTGACTGTCACCCTCAATACACTGTACACAATAAAGTAACACATGATCAGATGTGATTCGGTCGTGATTTATTACGACAAAAGGCAAATAGACCGTCGCACACGATCGGTCCCTAAATTATTTGTACTCTATCATAATCCTTTTTTCTCATACTACTGAAACATACAAAACATCCACATATCAGTGCACATTCTATGATCAAATCGACATACATTATCTTATTGTTTTGCGGGACCTTAGCAAGAATATCAAAGGGTCAGAGTTTAGCGGAAAGGTCCATCGTTTACCGATATTTTATGACAACTCGCGTAAAAATTCCTTACTTTTAAAATATTTCTTTTACATTAACTTTCAAGATATATCCATTTATTCAATGCTTACACAATGTTTTTATTAGTGTATACTTACAGTATTATTTCATTTTGAATGTTTAATCGCTTGAATTATCTTTAGACGTTATTTTAATATGATGAAATTTCCTATGTTTGTTTACCGGTACCGTGTCTGATTCTGTGTCTTCAGGAAATACTTGAATAAACAATTGTATTTCATTGTTTATATTTTTTTTATTTGACCATTATGCTCATGAAGGAAGTGAAAGTAATTTGGGATGTAAAGGTAATCAAGATACAATAGCTTGTGGCTGAATATAGTAGTATTAGTGGTTAGTATTTTAATTCAACCAAATTACACAAAAATTGTACAATGTCCTTGTGGAGCGTACAGTAAGCAAAGGTAAATCAGTAAAAATATATTACACAATATGTTGAAATAATTGGTAGAACAGTTTACTACATTTAATAGACTTAACAGAATTTAAATTTGTCTTAAAATTTATGGCTATGTTCACCCACACCAGGGGCGGATCCAGAAATGTCCAAAAGGGGGCCGAAAGTTGGGCCGATCAAGATATCACTGTCCTAGGGGGTCTGGGGGCATTCCCCCGCGAAATTTTTGTGTTCTAAACGCCCGAAAATAACAGTTGAGGCATTCTGGGCTATCATTTTTTCTTTTTCTTTCTTTTTTTTCTTTTTTTTCCTTTTTTTTTTCCTCCCAAAAGGGGGAGGAACGGGGCAGGGCCACCCCTCCCCCTAAATCAGCCCCTGCACACCAACTAACAGTTGGCAGGCTCCAGATTAATAACATACGCTCACAGTTGCGTTCATACAGAAAGTCCCCAATCCAGGTATCAAGAAGACGACAGTGGGAACACTGGCCAATAGGGAAATTAGAAATGCGTATGTCTGATTGGTTAATGATAGAAATGAGGTCAACTAACCGATAGCACTTGCTAAGCGTTAATGTAGCCACTTCCCGGTAATAGTTAACGCTAACCGATCGGGAGTTTTCACATGCGTGCTAACTAACGGTTAGGGTTACCGGTTAGCTCCCGATCTGGATATTAAAGTTCTAGTGGTCAAAAATTGCCACATTTTTTCCATTTATTTATTTATTCAACTTTCTTTAATCTGGATGGCATGCTCAATGCCAAGGCACAGGTTTTCGTTGTGGTCCAGATGAAATTGACAAAAATATATATAAAAGTGATTGAATTTGAGAGGAGAGACCTATGAATTGCTCAATCCTTCATGCAGCCTTGCTGTTGTTGGCCTAGGTGAAGGGGGCGGGGTGCAAAAATAGAGAATGCAGAACTAAATCCATATTCCAAAGAAAAATTAATGGTCATTGGTCATTGTTCACACACCCAGCTTACACCCATGACCGTTAAACATTAGAATCACTCTTATTATGTACGCCTCCTATCAAGTGGTTAAGCTCAAATTTTGCCTCTTCTCTGTTATGTGTTTGGCAGAGCCCTTGATGAGTATAGAAACAATAAATAGTGAATTAAATAAAATACTATATTTGTAACTTTTTAAATTTCTCATTCCTTTGTTATAATTTTGAAAGTATTTGAAATATATAGTTTGCAATATGTGCTATATAGTCTAGTTACATTGTAATATGCAAATTGTAATATTTGATGTTGGTTTTATCAGTATCCAGTATTTATTTCACCAAATGTATGATAAATAACACAAATCCAAGAGTGGTGGAGGAGACCAATATATGAGCTACGCTCGTATAAGAAATTGACCACCTTTACAATGAAAACAATTTAAGTATTTAAACAAGTACACAAGGACACAAAAGCTCTTTTGGTAATTTAGGAGTATTATATTAAAATATTATTTAAATATAGAAAGAAAGTAAATAGACCCCACATCTCAAAGTCAAGTCTTGATCAATTATAGCAACTTAATATTCTGTACAAGTGAAATTTTATTGATTTGGAGACCAGATACTTAATGTACTATAGTTACTGAAGACAATACATTATTGATTTATGCAAATATTGATATTGATAAGCTCAGAGGCACATAGTATGTCAAGAAGGAATTTCCTTATATTTCGCTGGCCTATTGCCTTCCACTAAATCAACCTTAATAGTAAATTTATTGTAGCATGTAATTTTTTCTTCTCGCAGGATATAGTTATTTAAATATTAAATGTGCATTGTGTCTTCTGGGAAGACATGTTTCCATATGTGACCATTACATATTTTACATACCTTTCAACATAATTATATGTACCGGCAGCGCTGGAAAAACATTATAGTACAGTGCTTGTGTCTGTAAAATTCAACATTCTGTTTTCATTATTTATAGAGTTTACATGCATTTCCATGCATACGTACATACATGCATATTATAACTACTGCAATACAATGTTGTTTTTTGTATCGGTCATAGAGAAATTGTCATCATATTTATCAAGCTTTTTCATTATTTTTGTGGACTTCAAATGTAATTGATATAGCAAAATATTTTGTATAATATTGAAGTCATTTAGAATTTTTTTAAGTGGTCTAATTGACACTGAAAAAAAATGCCTTAAAGTAGGTGACCTGCCAGACAATCTTGAGCATCTGTGGACTATTAATGTCTGCTCCACTCCTTCCGTGCATCCAATAAATTCACAGTTGAAGTACTGTCAAAACCCTCTTTTTAGGAATGTTGATATTTATCCTTTAAATATACACTACACTACATTACTGTACTACGAGGTCCAAAAGATTGGTACTGTCTGGATCTTTGTTCACATTGTAACGTTTTATGTGACAAACAGATGTGATATGCCCATATTTGGGGGTAATATAACATCATGCCATGTCACATAAATTTGTCCCATAAAAGTTGATAGTGTGTTCAGAGCTTAAAGAATTTTTAATGAGACACTTTTACCTTAAATATTTTTATTTATTAATGTTTAAATATCAATAATTTTATAGGATCAAAGCTGTATACATACCTAAAATAGTTACCATATTTAAATAAACATTTCGCTTTGAAGGTAGGTCTCGTCTTAAATAAACGCTCCCTCCAGAGTCTTATTTGCAATAAACGCCTCCCTCGAATGAAAGCCTGGGACGTTAATTTTTCCCTCAAATTAACACCACTCCTTCTTCCTCTCCTCCTTCCTCCCCCCCCCCCAAACAAATTTCTGTAAACAAAAACTAATGGAAGCAACATCATTCTCAACATATTCTATTAATTTTACATTTTCTTTAAGTCTATGAACACATTTTCACAGTAATTATGTGTTTCAGTTCCACAATTACAATGGAATTAAAGGGCGTTTATTTGAGTAAATACATATCCATTTAATACTAAATGAAGTAAACGCCACCCTCGAATAATGGACTCCCTCAAATATATGCCCCTCAAAAACCCTTCTGGACACACACCGTGGGGCGTTTTTTCAAATAAATATGTTATTCTTTTAATGTTTTGATAATAGTTAAGTATTTACAGGATCATATTAGCTGCCTCTACCCAAAGAATGTTTTAATGTTTTTTTTTATTGTTCAGTATTTTATAAAATCCTCAGCTATTTTCATCTTATTTATGCAAGAATTCAATTCAGAAGTTATATCTTCAGACCAAGATGTCAAGATAATATCAGCAAAAGAATTGTACTGATCAGATGGCAAACACAATTCTAAAATTGCAATTAAAAGACTGTTCCATTGGTAGTCTTAAAACTTGACATTTATATTCGCTCTACTTCCTCCATTGATGTATTTAAGTATGCCTTAAAAAAATATTACTAAAAAATTATTCCCTCCCATTCTCCAAGGCATTTAATATGTATTTCAAATGAAAATTTGAACTGAAAAAATGTTCAGTTGTTAGCTATAAACTTCTTTCCTTTATTACCTCCGCCAAAGAGGCTATGTATTTGCTGCTGGCTGGCTGTCTGTCTTGTTAGAAGGATTATGCAAAAACTAATGAATGGATCATCATAAAATTTAGTGGAATGGTAGATAATAATCAAAGAAAGACACCTTTCAATTTCCGAAGAAAAATCTTTGCCAAGGAGGTTATGTATTCACTGCTATCTGTATGTCTGTCTGTTAGCAGGATTACGCAAAAACTAATGAATGGATCATCATAAGGTTTACATGGTACATAAAAGTCAAAGAAAGAAACCTTTCCATTTTTGGAAGTATACCTCCAACAAGCAGGTTATTATTCACTGCTCTCTGCCAGTTTTTTGCAGGATTATGCAAAAAGTAAGGAATAGATCATAAAATTTAGTGAAATGGTACATAATAGAAAGACACCATTCAGTTTTCGGAAGAAGGGGTCAAAGGGCAAGGTCAAGTTCACGAAAATTAAATTTTTAAACTATGAACATAAAAGAAAATAATGTAAACGCCTCATGTATTCAAATAGTACTCAAGAAAACAAGGTGCCTGAAAATGATGTAGACGATTATATGTCATTGAAGGTATGCTGTAGTTTCGCCCATAATACACGGCCTGTGTATTTTTGTTTTATTCAGGTACATGGCGGATTTAAGGCCTGTTTATACTTCAACGATAACGATAAAACATCTAAAAAGTGATTGTTCATATAGAAAACAATTTATCGTGTATACGATAACAAAATATTTTAACAAATCAAATCTGATGACGTCATAATCATGGTAAAACGATAAAATTGTGGCTACTACTACGATTTTAATTTTTTCCATGATTATGACGTCATCTGATGTGATTTGTCAAAATATGTTGTTATCGCATATCTGATAAATTGTTATCGAATCTTTCTAGTGTATAAACTTTTCTTATTTCTTTTATTTTCTATATGAACAATCGCTTTTTAGCTTTTTTGTCGTTGAAGTATAAACAGTCCTTTATGCAGTGTATGAAGTGACTGCTCTAGTAATTAATCTTGCTGTTCAATCTCATATTTATTTTTAAAAAGGCTTAATTAGTGAAATTTCTTAAGGTTCATTTTATTCAATAAGCACATTTTAATTGAATATATCTTTTTTTAAGTGTTAATTCCAATGACTCAGTGATTCTTTTCGAAATTTTAATGAATTCTTGTATAAATAACCATGTGATCAATTAAAAATTGTTTGCCTATTATAGTTCATAAATTGTTTGTATTTTTCAAGTATGGTAATTTTACATCTATGGCGACTAGGTAGTCACGGACCATGCCCATACGCAATTCAGCCCAATGACGCTGCAAGTTGCGGGGTATTCTCTTACCTTTAAATAAAAACTATTAACCTACAGGATTTGTGTCAAACAGGATAATTGGAATGGAATTAGCTGCTTTTCTTTACAATACTATAATTCCTTGTGGTATCACTTATTAAATGACACAACAACCTTGGACTATATAGTAGTAATGACTCCAGTGTTCTTGACATTGACAGATAAAAAGGAAGTGTTGCAGTATACTATTGTGTTAACAATGGTTAATATAATTTTTTGAAATTTAATTTCATTTGATATTATAAAAGAGTATAGAATTGCAAGATGTCCGACTGCCCTCATTTTGCACGCACTCAATGAAACGTTTAAAAAAGTACTGAAGCGAGATGGGGTCCGTCCTATTAGAATTCAAATAGAGTTCGCTCAAAACTCGTCTTTTGAAGGACACACCCCTTTGTGGTAATACTTTTAGAAATAGGATTACGTTCCACAAAACCATAAGAGTTGGATATTTGGCAGTTGAAATCTGAGCAGCTCAAATGCACGAACCTATGACAGCAGATTTCTTTCTTTTTTTTTTTACCACATTTATAGAGGGTGACCCTTCTAGCATATCCTAAAAGGCCGGCTGATATTCAGTGGCCCTCAAATGAAATAATGTGATGCTTTTATCAGTGAAGTTTCTTTATGAGGCTTAGGGAGTGGAGTTGCTTTTAGTCAAGAGGAAACGTCCTACTGTCACAGGAATTGAACGCAGTGCCCTGGGATTAGAAGTCAAGCATCTTTCTTAACCACTAAGCTATTCAACTCCACTCCGATCACTGAGATCACTCAAGATATCCGGGAGGTCGTATCCAGTGTCCCTGTTTAGGATTGGTTTTTCCATTAGGATTTCTATTCTTTTAGCATAAATATTAAATGTAGAACAACAGAAAGCATTAAGGCTAAATATAAGATGGTTTTGAATCACAAAAATATAAGACTATAATGCCCAAAGGCATCCATTTAAGTGTCTTGGTGAATTTCCTGAGATTTCACAGTTTCCCTTGTGTCATACCTATCTTTACCACACTTGGCATACGCAATTAATTCTAGGTTGGTGCCCATGTAGAACAACAGAAAGCACGTCGAGTGCTTTAAAACTTTTGTATAAAGTGCTACATAAATCGAACTACATTACATTAAAGCTAATATACAGTATTAAGACAGTTTTTAATCATAAAAATATAAGACTATTATGCCCAAAGATATCCATTAACAGTCTTGGTTAAGTTTCTGAGATTTCATAAGGTTCCTTTGTGATACCTCCCAATAATTATACCCTCAGCAATAAATTCTTGGTTGGTGCCATACAGTACAGCATACAGTCTGGTATACAAAGATAAGTTACGCTATTTTTGTGTCTTTCAAATACAGTACTTTATTTTCTTTTCTTTTTTTTTATACTTGAACGTGTCATATTTCTACAAGAAAATTGGATTATTGACTTTATGACTGGGATCAAGGGATTCGAGAACAGCATTGTAATTTGTACTAATGCATACATTTGTAACTCAATATTAAACTATTTTTACCGTGGGTTCTAGGTGTTGTAATAATAATAATAACAAATATTTGATGGCGTCATTTGTACAATAGCTTTTGATTTGGTAAATTGTAATTTGATTGAATTTATTTGTTATACTTATACCTTACATGTATACTTGGAGACCGATCACACGTAATAATGGGGCCACCTTCAAATGTGAACAATCAAATAAATTTTAAGCCAGACTAAAGGCGATCAACATTTTTTCTGTTTAAAGGTTTTATTTATAATATATTTAATAATTATACATTGATAATTCAGGGTACCACTTCAAGTAATATAAACTATGTTTATACACAATCAGTGTAACAATACCTGACTTGCAATTGAGGGCAAAGCCATGTTTTATTTATTTCTTTATAAAGTTTGTACAAAAAATAGCCTGATTGAGTAACAAGTAAAAACTATTCCAGGGCATCACAAAATAGCTTCATTTAGTTAAAATTAAGAACGACACCAGCGCGTGCCCAAGGCATCCAAAGGGTGGTTAACATATATATATATATATATACCAACCACTATTTATTACCAGTAGTTCAAAATTTAATTTCAGTTTAATATTTCCTGTTTTTTTTTTGTTTTTTTTTCAGGGCCTTGGCACTGGAGCAAAATTACTTCATATTTTAACACGACAGAAAAGATGGGAGGCAGCTAGTGCGTTCCACTTTCAATCACAACATGTAAGTATAAACTACTGTAAGGTGACAGAAACTTGGTTACCTGGACGTTTCGTAACTAAAGCATTTTAGATTTCAAAATGTCCGGGTTATGAAATGTCGATGGTAGATTTTTAAAAAAATTCTAGGTTATGAAAAGTGTGGGTTACAAATGTCGACACCCTAAGTAAATTATAGTTAGTATTACATATTATTCAGTTTATTGATAATCAACACGTACAGTATGCAAATAGGTATGATCAAAGAAAAACGAAAAGATCCAATACAGAAAGCAAATAAAAAGCAAAATACAACCAAATGTCGGTTGTTTTGAGGATGTACGACACTTCAGCCTACTGACTCATGTGGGAGCCTGAAAAACTATAGGTTCTTTGAAAGGCCAATTGTACATATTTCATGACTGGCTTGATTACTTCAAACTCATTTGCATCCATAATATAATGAAATTTTTCATTTTTTTTTGTTGGCATATTATCAAAATGTAGAGTAAATTTGAGTTCTGTAAATGGTTTTGTTCTAATATCATTGTAAATGGGGCAATTTAAAATAAAGTGGAGTTTTTCTTCGACTTGAGAGGCTACATAATCTATTTTCTGCTTCAGTTTTTAGATTTAACTCTTGTTTTATTTACAGCTCGTAAATAAGCTACTATGAATGGATGAAAATGAAGAAATAATTATAATTATCATATCAATATATTTACTGTATTTTTCATGCTTTCCTTTATGTTCATTTTCATTTTTCTTTGTTTAGTGCTTTTAATATTTTATGCCTAGATGTTGCAGAACAACTTTTAGTGGAAACAAGTTGCCCTTTACAAAAAAAAGTTAATTAGTACTGTATATCTTCTGTAACATTCAGAAAATGGCTTCAAATGTTTATAGTACCGTTATTTTTTCAAACACCAACAAAGATTTGACCCTAGCAAAGTTATTCAACTCTCTTGGATTCAGTCCAATATGCAATTTTTTTGTTCTCACATTTTATGTTTTTTTTTTTTATGTTCACTTAAAAGTTTATAATCTCTTTAAAATTGCAGGCAATCTTACGACTAGCATGGCTTCTAAACAACAACCAGGAGGTAAATGTAACTCAAAAAACTTATATTTATATATAGCTGAACCAAATTATTTTTAAGGTCTACCAATTTTGTAGGCCTAGTTGTTCTCTGGATTCTATTAAAGGTAGGTAAAGGTAAAGGTAGGAGAATAACCCATAACTTGCAGCGTCATTGTGCTGAATTGCATATGGGTGTGGTCTGTGACTACCTAGCAGCTGTAAAGAGACGCTTCATGGTAGATACATGTTTACATCTTTCCACAACGACATGAAGCTAACTATTTAACTGGTGTTAATGATAGTACCTCCAACTGTGAATAATTTATTCTATACTTTCTTTTTGTATTTGGCATTCCCGCCCCAAGGAAAGTCATTGCTTTTTTTCTGATTTCTTTTGTATTTGTCTATCCCGTCTTCGTATGTTTTGCACAGGGTTTTCTGTCCGCCACTTTGGTCACTTTCGTGCTTGCATCTTCAGATTTGTTTAAGCAATGTAATAGTATTAAAATATGATATTTTACTTATTAATAAATGGGCAATTAAACATTGCAGATTGCATTTTAAAGTTAGCCATAGCTAATTTATACACAAAATTACTGTGAAATACTAAACAACTTTCGCCTTCAACCTATGAAATTTCGCAAGGTAGATAACTAAAAATACGCTAGCCTCCGCATTGATGGGTTCTCCGGTGCAGTGGTTGAAACGCTCCACATCACACCTGCTATATTATCATTGCAGCACTAGTTCGAGCCAAACGTCAAGTTTATTTCTATCGTTTTTTTTAGCATCATATTTTGTTTATGTATTTAATAAAAAAATGTTTTTTTAATGACTTTTTAAATATAATTTCCAAATCAGTTCTCATTTTAGCAATGAGGGAAAGCCTTATGCTCTGTTTTATAGACATACAGTAGTCTAGTTTCCTTAATTAATTTCATGTCAATATAGTACTTCTGTGATTTCGTATATAAAAAAAATAAACTAGGTCAGTTTACTGTTTGTGAGTTCATTGTTGTTTATGTTAGTTTTTTTTGTTCCTTTTGGATGCACCAAGAGTGCAACATGTGTTGCAGACAATTTGATGTCCAATAAAAATTGTATTGTAGTTTTATTGACAATACCTATAGGAAGGCTGGAAGTGCACTAGTATTATACCATGCTTAGGCAAGACTATTTTTATAACTTATTTTTGTGAAAATCATCAGTGAAGGGTGGAAAAAAATAAAAATAAAATTTTTTTTTCTTATTAAGCAAGTGGTTTAGCCAAAAACATCCAGATGGAGGAGAAAATTTAAAAAAAATTATATTGGCAAATGTAAACAGTATAGTGATGGGATGGCTATATGCTTTAAATTTATATAATTAGGAAGAAATGGGCCTATACATATTTTATTTTTGGATATATCATAGGCAGCGGCAGGTATATTAAAAATATAGAAAACTTTTTTTTCCCTAAAAATGTCAATTTTTTCGTGGGGTGGGTGCGCTAATTGGCCAAAAATACAATTTTATTTTTTATTCAAAATCATCATTATTGGCGGGTGGCGGGTTTACTAAACAAAGTATAATAAAGTCTTGCCTTATGCTCAAAACAAGTCCTTTTTTTCAATCTTTAAATGTGTTAAATTATTTAATGATAAGTTAAAGTAGTAAAATAATTACTATTTCCTCCATATATATTTATTTCTAACAAAAGTCAGAAAAAATTCTGTATGCATTTATTTCTACAAAAGCTGCCCACATAGTGACTACATCAGTCCAAGAATTTCAATATAGTATACAGATATGCTAATTAAGAAAGTGTATTTATTACAATAATCTCAATTTCAATAAATCTCCATTGGTTGCCTGTACAGGAAATAAATTCAATTCAAACTTCTCTTCTTTGTTTTCAAATCACTTTCTGGTGTCTGCCCTTTGTAAATATCCAATTACATATCACTACGTACTCATGTGTGCTTAACAAGATCTTCCAACTCCATCCAACTTGTTCGACCGGTCTACCATAAACGTATTGGTGACAATTCATTCCCTTCAATTGCTGCCCAACTTTGGAATGGTCTGCCTAATTCTCTCAGATCCTGTGATTCACTTTAATAGGCAGTTCAAAGCACATCTAAAAACACACCTTTTTCAATAGTTCCTCTCACCTAGCTTGACGCAGGGTTCCTGGAACGCCGCCCTCAGCGGCGAGTGCGAAGCACAACTCAGGGTCAAAAGTGGAACGTGAAATTCGGATATGGTTTTGTAGTCAGATTTGTGAGAAAAACTTCAGCTACCCGTATTTCTCGACTGAGACGTCATTGGGAGCTGTAATTTGTATGGCAAGGAGATTGAGCAACCCTTCATTCATATTAAGGGAATTTACGCCCAGAAACTCTGTAGTTATTAATATTTTGGTTATAATAGAAAATATTCATTTTTTTGTGACGTCACACTCACATTAGTTAGCATGCATACGTCATAAGCTAGATACGTCACCTTTTCCTGGTAAGGCAAACTTTCCCGGCGTGCTTTTATGGATAAACAAACACCACTGCTTTGCACATGGATGCCTTGCCCCAGCCAGGGCTACAAGAGCCGCATTGTTAGCATTGTATAATACTTAAATAAGGTACCTCTGCAAATGAATTATTCTTAGTTATTTTTTTTTTCTTATTTTAATTTATTTCTTCCGAAAGTGTGCTTTCTGTCACATATAATTCCACTGTCTTAGTTAGGCCTAGGCCTAGTCTTATGCCTCATCGTCCCCCGCTACACAGCACATCAGCAGCCCCTCCCCCATACAGTACAGATGTTTTCTAGGTAACAACATGATTGCACCTTCCTTCCCAGGTGTTCATGTAACATTGGCATAATTGTTAGCTAACCAGTTGCGTGTATTTCTTTGTGAAAATGAGTACCGCGGCGTACTCATTTTCAGAAAGCATTTGCATCGAGGGATTCGAAATAATTGTCTCCATAACTTCGCTAATTCGCTCACAGCGCTTCGTAACTGAAAAGAAAGGTGCTATACAAGTAACAAGTAAATGATGATGTGTAAAGCATGAAAATATTGAGGAGAGCTAAGTGTTGTTTAAAATCTACACTCTCATATTTATTAAGTTTTTTACATTCATTGGCTGCCTGCCCGTAGGCTACCATTTGAGGTCATATTTTATGGAACAAAACAAAGTCAAATTTTGGCAAATTTTGGCGGCTCTGTTCAGTTTCCTTTTGCAGGTGGTTCATCATGTAGGCCTAATCCCTGGGGAAAGTTTGCACTTGTGTGCTCTGTCTGGTGTAATGTATAGTAAATGTGGTAATCTGAAGCTTATTATTTAAGAGTTTTTTGTAGCTCAAGGCAAGCAATACAAAGTTTTATTTTGATGAAAGATTTTCTGTGACCTCAAAAAATAGGAAAAATCCCCCAAATAAAAAAAACACAAAATGAATTGCCTAATTGAAAAAACCATGCAAAAGCTATAAACTTCAGTTTAAGTCACAACTGAAAGAAAAGTCAGTTACCAATTTTTATGAATGTTTCTAAATTTGCTTAAAGTTTGTTTCTTGTTCTAATTTTTAATTACAAGCTAAAAACTTATTAAAATAAATCATGTAAAAGAATTTTTGTAATAAGAAAAAAGGTGAGGTGGAGAAGATGTTATTTTTTATTGTACAGTACATTGTGGTGTTTAGTTAGTATTAATCATTTTATGTATTTAATTTATTACAGATGAAGAGTGAAGCTAAAGCAGGAAATGTGTTATTTGGCACATTAGAAACCTGGCTGGTGTGGAAACTCACTGGAGGTATTACATCAAACTAAACAAATACAGTACCAAACATGCAGTGGTATATCTAGGGGTATGCATAGGGGGAGGGGCATACCCCCTAAAAAAAAACTTGCATTCCCTCAATTGAAAATGTCTGAAGCAAAAAACCATATGCCTAAGCAAAAAATCACCTCAAATCACCTTATGTTACGACCTAGCGCCCCCCACTTAATCATCAATTCTCCATCTCTAACTTAGTTCCCCATCAGCCCCCCCTCAACCCTTTATTTCAAGACTTTTAGGTACACCACTGCCAACGTGCAGCAATAATTGTTACAGTGGACCAGAAACAGATCCTAGATGTTTCTGCCGGGAGAGCATCAGGCCTCGATCATGGTTCTTAGAAACCTTTCTGGAGGAAGTGTTCTCTAATAACAGGCATAACTATAAAATATATTAATTGTTTTAACACATGGAAATTGATCGATGCAAGAACCCACCAATTTATTCTTTGAATTTGTATCAATCTCATTTAAAAATTATGAAAAAGGAACTGTTTAAAAAAATTATAAAACCAACACAACCAACTAAAAGATAAAAATATCTCAACATGAAAAAAAAAAATGTGACAAAGGGTGTAGCCAAGTCAAAATCATAAGGCATAACAATCAACACTAGAAACATAAAATGTCAGGCTTGCTGAGCACACCAGATATTAAATAACCCATCAAGGACATTTCTATATCATTATCATATTTGATGAAGTGGAAATTTTTAGCTAAATGTAAAACATATTTAGGGGATAAGAGGCTATTATCAGGGGATGGTAGGCTTTTGTCAAAACTTAGGATGCAGTTGACAAAAATAGAATTGTTTATTACCAAGTATAATATAGAATAGAAGCATACACATCAATACCATGATAAGTTATTTATAAATCCCAGATGAGTACACATCTGCAAAAAAGGTAGTTTCTCGTCGTAAGATTTTGAAAATAGGAGAATGACGCACATCTTTTCTTTTTTTTTTTTGACTCCGAGAAGTCAAATTCAAGATGGTCAATGGGAAATAGTTACTTCTTTACCAGTAGACACATTGCAAACAAATAAAAGAAGCACTAGACATGATTTATACTATATGTATCCCCAACCACGAAATGAATGTGAGAGGAATTTTACTGATATGATTTAACTAGAGTTTTGTACATTTCGTAAAATAAAGGAAATTTTAAAAATAAATAAATAAATTTGGTGAGGCAGAGAAAATGGATGTGTGGAAGAACGAGAAACTAGTAATTTTGTTTATTTGCCGAATAAGATAATATAATATGTGTTAAGCAGAACAGCCTCAAATTATTAAATAATGATGATGATGATGATGATTATGATGATGAAGATGATGATGATAATAATAATATCAAGTATCTTCAGCACTGCTGTATCCATTCCTCGGGAATGCTAATCTTTAAAACCATTCAATGTTATGCTAAATTGATCTTGTTTTTGTAGGGAAAGTGCATGCAACAGAACCATCCAATATTTGTGCAACAGTCTTGTATGATGTATTCAAGGTAACAATGTTTAATTATCTTGAAATTATAGACAATTCATGTATTTCATATGTTTTATATATATATATATATATATATATATATGTCATGTCATTACCTGATGAAGAGCTATGCTCGAAACGTTGTACTATTTCTAATAAATATTGGCAATATCGTACCTTACGCTTTGCGTAATTATATTTTTTTTCTATATAAATATGTACTGGAAAACAACAATGCTGTGGGAAACAATGGCTGGATCTCAGCAGAGATACAAAAATGATAAGCAACAGCTAAAAAGTAAACGTAAGTAAACAGCCAGAAATAGAACCAGAGCTTTCGGACAACACTAGTCCTTCCTCAGTGGCGAGTGAGTATATATATATATAAGGCTTGCCATCCCAAAACCAGCGTACTGTCACTAAATGTTAATGTGAGTACTTAGCATAGGAATGTGGCAATATTTTATAGAGAAGCCATAATACTTTTACTCATAACTTTGGCTATAGTAAGTTGATTCTTGTAAATGACAAATTATTTTAAGGCTTATACAGGCATGTGGAGAATATGAATATGTTAAAAAGTCGACTTTCTTCTTGTGGTCACTGAAGCTGGTTTTGGCATGGCAAGCTCCATATATTTTTTTTATACATACATGAATACTACTATACACATCTTATTTAATCTGACATTGTAAAACAAGGAATAAACATTTAGTGTTAAGCACATTCAATGCCGTAGCATTTTTTCAAAAATGCAGGACAGTATCAGGGTGGACCCACTTTACGTGTAAATTCAAATGTGGTCCCTTTTCTTAAAAAGTTGACCCATTTTACACAAAAATATGAAAAATCTGGACCCATTTTCTTAAAATTTTATCCATTTTAGGCTATATATGAGGAATCTGGACCCATTTTTCAAAGATTGGACCTATTTTACATATGAAATTGCATAATTTGGACCCATTTTTCAAAATATGGACCCATTCTTTGTGGACCCATTAGAAAAATCGTGCAAGATTGTCCCAACTGTCCCATTAGCTGGCTACGGCATTGAGCACATTGGAGCTCAGACATTATGTGCTATATATAAAATAAATTATTTCCTATTTATGATTCTTGAAAATGATCAAATAGATCAATACATTGAATCTTCAAATGTCGCTGTCTCTTTTCAGAGCTACTGTATTTTTGTTTTATTACCTATTTATATTTCTGAGAAGAGAGACACAACCATTGTGATCAGTGTCAATGACTGTTTACCTAATAAAATCAATAAAACTCTCTTCTTACACAATTCCAGGTACCTCTTCAAAGGAAGTAATTGCAGAATTCTAAAATTAGACATAAGAGTAATCTTACAGTAATTATAGCTTGCCTGATAGTGTAACCATGGAGGAAATATTTCCTCCACGGTGTAACCATGAGGTAGAGGGAGCAGCTTAGCTCAGTCGGCTAATCTGGTGGTAGCCATTGTTTGTGCGCTGAACCGTGGAGATCTCTAGGTCCTCGGTTCAATTTCCATCGCTGCCTCTCCTTGTGTTTCAGCTGGAGGGCTAAAATGCTAGTTGCAATAGCGCACACCGTCTTTCAGATGAGACGTTTAAGCTGTTGGTCCCGTGTGTATTAATGGCCCATGTGCACGTTAAAGAACGCAGTACACTCTTTGGAAAAGAGTAGGGGATTGTCTCCCAGTGTACTGCCCACCAGAAGGACCCCACTGGAAATAAGTTTTCTTCTAGATTTTCGTGGGCTACCCTTAATAAATTCAATCAAATCCAATCCAACCCTGTACAGTATAGTGTTTATCAGTTTATACATTGCATAAAATCAATAGTGTTTTGCAGTTTCCATTTTGGTTATGCCACATGGTCAAACGTTTAGTTTTGTTTTTGTTTTTGTATTGTTTTTTTTTTTTTTTTTTTTTTTTTTTTTTTCTCTTTTTTTTTTTTTTTTTTTTTTTTTTTTTTTTTTTTTTTAAGTGCACTTGCAAACAATGCTCTGATTGAGTTTAAGTTGTCCAGTTTATCAATGAAAGATTTGCTGCAAAACAAATGAAAGGGAAAACAAATTAAAGTATTTAAGGAATTCAAAAAACAGTTGCATCACAATGAAAATATCAACTGAACAAAACCCTGCACCTACACACACCCACTAACACACCCACACCGATATATTATTTCAGCATGTTGCAAATTTTGGCTTTTCTAGCGAAGCCTAAAATTCAAAGTTAAAGGTTGCAGATATTCATACTTAATGGATATACTTTTTTTAAAAACTTGATATGGAGCCTGATTTCGCAGACTATTGGTGGCTGGTCTGTGTGGTTACAATCATTGTATGTTGGGCACACAGGTTGTACAACTGACAATTGTCAAATCCATCTCTGGTCTGCTGGAGGGCTTGATGACGCAACGTTGTCAGCAGATTTCAATGGCAGACTGAGTGGATTCTCGTTACAAACGATCTGTTGCACACACCTCGATGATATAAATAGAAATTAACTGATAATGCTAGTTTATGTAGCTAATACACTATTAAGTTTAAAAGCAGGATATAATTAAACACAAATCTTATTGTATACTGTTTAACTCATTCGTTCGTTTCTGTAAGTCCATAATCCCAGGAGCTACACCTGTCTCTTATACACATCTAGAACAAAAACAAAGTCCATTGATTCCAGTGCCATAACGACCATACTAATAAGGCTACTTCAACTACATCCGCAGATAATAGTTCTGCCAATGAAGTTTCACAGTCAAAGCCAGTAGGAAGCTGCGATACAAAACGGATAAAGGAGAGTGGCCGTTTTAATTATTTAAACTTCTGTACATACAGTTATACCCGCACACTAAAAGATGATGCAGATGTAGAGTATCTGATCCCAGAACTCGACGGACTCAAATTGGAGGTGATTGGATGTGAAAAACTAAAGAGAGAATGTGTCTGAAGGATGCCCACAGGCTATTAAATGTTAGATGATCAGAACAAAACAAAAAGGAAAAAAAGGAGATTAGTCTCCTTGTCCTTACAGGAATAATAAACGCAGTCTGCGGATTCAAATCCTACTCCAGTAGAATAATCTGCATGCCGTTAGCACTAGAAAAATCATCAAAATTAACCAGCATACAGCATATTCTCCCACAACTGACTACGACGGTTTAGAATTTGAAGCATTCTAGCAATTAAACAAGCAATGCTAAAAAAAATGGATGAGACGCAAAGGAGTGCAAGATAACATAGGTTCATTTGGCATATTATTAGTATGTCCATGAAACGAAATAGGAGAGAAGCTTGTTGTGTTTATACAGAGTGGGAACCTGCAATTGGAAATACTTGGTTCAAAAAAGAAAAAGAAAGAAAAGAAATACAGATATTGAACATAGGAGCGAAATAGAGGCTGTCTCTTATACACATCTAGATGTGTATAAGAGACAGGTTATAATGTTGAATTTTCTTAAAAGTTGTAGGTAGGTCTATGTAATTCTATTTAGAACTTGTGTTTGGAGAATGGATGTGAAGGGTATTGCAAAATTGCGCATCAGTATGTGTATGTGTGTCCTGGGCGCATAACTCAAAAACTTACAATGTTATATAATATATATTATATACTATATATATATCGTTCATCCGAGTAGTTTGGCTAGACCGAGCCGACTCGAGCAAATTGTGTGCAAATATGCTGATTGACCGGACTGCCTTTTTGGCTGATGGAGTGGATGGAGTACGGGTCATTATTTCTTCAGTACATATATAGCACAATAGGGCGAGGGTTTGTATTCTCAGATTATCTTGTTAAAATTTGAATTTTGTATGATTCGTATGCAGTTAAAACCATTAAATTCACCATATTTGTGTAATGACGTCTTCTTATTTTTGTGTTTAGTTGATATAAAATTATATTAATTAGTTTGTCATAACCTGTGATATTTTGTGTATTTAGTAATAGATGTCAGATTCCTGTTAAGATACAAGCCAGTAGTCTATTTATTACTAATACACTGTACATTCCGAGTTCTGAGATTGTGATGTAGGCCTAATGCTTATAGGCACAAGTACTGTTTAAATCATTTTACACAAAAGAAACACTATTTTCAAAAATAAATCATAGTGTACAAAACACTTACTGTGAACACGAATTGGGAAAATGTTGATATGATGAATGAAGAAAATTGAAATTGAGAATCATGATGACTCATCAGCGAAAAAAATATATACAGTTAATTGTTTCAGCTTATGTGAATTATGAACTATTTACGTGTAAAATTAGTGATGCACTTGGTTGCAGCCTGTAATGATGGTTTGCATCTCATTTAAATACATGCTAAAAATTCCTGGTATAAAAAGATATTCAGTGACATGCCCAATATATCAGGCCAAGCCAAGCTATTAAAGGTCCCTTTTATATATACTGAAATATACTGATCAAAAATAATAGTTAAACTGTTTATTTGATTTGTATATTTCAGTTTGTTTATAAGATACTTGTCTGCCCAAGAACAGATAAAAAACTTGCAGAAGCAGATGCAATTTTTTTTTTCTTGCAAATATGGGATGATTTTCTGATAAGCGCAAAGAGATTGAAATCTTTGTCAACTGCAATTGCGTCTTTTCCCATAAAACTGAATGAGTGTAAGGTCTATTGAATTAACTATTCATTCATATCACAATCCATTCGCAAATGCTGATACGTCACACAATAAATATAATCTTCATATTCAAGTTTTATCGTCGTAGCGCCAAGCATTAACCAATGATCATCAGCACATTATCTGTGTAAAATCCAGAAAAATGTTCTTAAATACATTCATAACATAATAAGAAATATTAAAGTACAGAAATTATGGTACCGTAACATATTTTAAGCCCCACATATTCTGTAAAAGAAAATTAGTATGAAACAAAAATTCTCAATATTATATTTCAATCAGTAGGCCTATTTATAAATTTTCAAATCAGTGTAAAATTATAGGTTATTAATGTTATCAGTGAGGTATAAATAAATTCAAAAATAACTTTGGCAAACATACAAATGTTTTAATATGATTATTTTTATTATTGTTCAATAGTTGTAGTACTGAAGGTCCTCCACACATATGGTGCTGATATGGATTTACCATCCAGATTCTAGAATATAACGAAAGCTTCATTAGCCTATTGCCATTGGAAATCCTTTTTTTATTTCAGGATTTTTTTTGTCCTACATGATTGCTATTACCATACAAGATACTTTTATTGTCACTTTGTAAACAAAATACAAGTAAAATTCGTCTTCCCAATGCAAAATAATTAAAGAAGTTAGACTTAAAAAGGACATAAATAAAACAATATACAATGATACAATTATTTACAAGAGTTGTATATATATATTGATATCAGCATTGTCCCAGTGGCGTAACGAAGAGGCCGGAGGCCCCTAGGCAGGGGCCCTTCGGGCCCATAGGTCTCCCAGATGCTGGGAGCCGCTCAGGTGTTTTTAGCGTTCCATGACGTATTGATAATGCCCTTTTTACACATTCAAATTTGTAATTTTGTCTATCGCGATTTGACCCCCAAAAAAGCATACTTATTTCCAACTAAGATCACTTTATAAACATATTACAATAAATACCAAACAAAACGAGCCAATTAAAATCAATAAATATTTATGAACATTTACTTTAACAAAACGTAGACTGGCAATAATGATGATAATAAAAATGCTCCAATCACCCTGCAGACTTTGTCTTGGAAAAGGGCCTTTGATTATTTATTGTATTATTACAGTATTATGTTAATGTGACAAGATGATCTGTCTTATGTCTTCACTTACACGCTGAAGAAAGTTGTAGGAACAACCGAAATATACGTGAAACTTATAATAAATATTTTTGTGTTCCTTAAGTCTACCTTCGATGTCTGTACTTTTATTTACCATCGTCTCCATATTTTTCTATCTTACTTTGAAAACACGTGCTTACCTATGTTATAATATGTACTTCGGACCCCCCACTTTTTGGCGAAAAATATATAATGTCTGGAGATTTTTGTATGATCGGAAATGCAAAAAAAGGAGGGAAGAAGGAGGAGAAGGATGGGAAAGAGAATGTTTATCCAGTACCCGACCGAGTTACATTTTCTTGCAATTCATATTGGTGGATCTGGGGGAGGGGGGTCATTGGTCCTTACCCCTCTCTTGGGCAACAAGAAAAGGGCAAAAAGAAAAGAATTCTAGACCTACCTTTTAGGAACCCGTGAGCTAATTTCTTTTCTTTTTTTTTTTTTTTTTTTTTTTGCTAAAACACGCTTCAAATGTCGGGAAAGCTCAATTCCCGCCATCTAGGAATCAAAATTTTCCCAGGGGAGAACCCTCGGACCACCCTTTCTTTTGGGATTTATCGATTCATGGAAAAAAGAATACGCATGCAACTACTCATTTGTTTATGTATGTATACACACATAAAATAAAAAATGAGAAAAATTTACCTGACCTATTTCAAGAGAAGAAAACCTTGAATTTTGAAGAGCTTTAAAAGACATTAAAAGACATTTTAGAAGTCAGGAAAGCTCATCTCCCGCCATCTAGAAATCGAAATTTTTCCGGGGGAACACGGATCCCCTTAATCTTTGGAGTTCATTGATTTATTGAATCATTTTCAAGGAGGGGGGGACGGGACCTTGAATTTTAATGAATTTAAAAGTCATTAAAAGACACAACAGAAGTCATTTCCCGCCACCTAGGAATCAAAATTTTCCCGGGGAAGAACCACAGGACCCCCCTTCCTTTTTGGAATTCATTTCATGGAAAAAATCGTATGCAACTACTCAATTTTTTTTAAATGTATGTATACACACATAACAGGCCTATTTACAATAATGAGAAAGTTTACCTTACCGTTTTCATGAGGGGGAAAACCTTGAATTTTGAAGAACAAAGTCGTTAGATACCTAGCTCAAAAGTCGAGAAAACTCCGCTTGGCTTGTTGGCCACTTTTAAGAATTTTTACTATGGAAATTGTGTGCGACGGTCCATTTGCCTTTTGTCGTAATAAATCACGACCGAATTACACTATATCTGATCATGTGTTACGTTATTGTGTACAGTGTATTGAGGGTGACGGTCAAGAGTGGGTGGGGCCTTATAGTTAATTCTTAGCCCAGTAGACACAAATAAATTTTCCGACACCAGCCATCTAGAAATCAAAATTATCCCGGGGGAGGAATGTTGACCACCACCACCTAGATTTGATTTCAAATCTGCATGATTCATATTCCCATTCATCTTATAAGCAGTGGCGTAACAGGCGGAGGGCCAGGGGGCAGACTGTCCAGTGGCAGTTTTTACCTGGCTGACCAAGCCGTCGTACCGGGCTGGGTAAGAAGAGAAAAGAAAGTGGGGAGAGGGAGGGAAAGAGAAAGAAGGGGATAGAAAAAGCAAGGAAAAAGGAAAAGAAAAGAGAAGAGAAAAATAAAGACAAGAATAAAAAGGAAGATATCACAATACCCCGACCTGCAACCCCTTCTCCACTGGCGTAACCACCGGGGGGACAAGTGGAAAATATCCATCTGTGGAAAATCTTTCCCCATTGAATGCCCTTTTCACCCGGGAAAGTGCTAGAAAATCTCAAATTTTAAATCGCATATTTTGTTGAGGTAGGCCAATTTCCTCTAAAAAAAATTGCACATTTTAGGGAGTTTTGATCAATTCCGACGAAATTAAAAAATTAAAAAGAATTAAAAAAACAAAAATTGTTCGCGCGCTACGCGCGCATTGTTTAATGTTAGAGCTTCTGCTTGCTCTCCTTTGCCTTCTAAGTTATAACACATAGTCCCAAACTCAAGAAAGAAAATTTAAGATAGATCGTTTTACCTAAAAGAAGGGCCTCAATGTGTAATGATGTTGAAAGAATATGATTGTAATAAATAAAACCACGACGAAAATGCTTATATTTAGTTTCAAACACACGTGTGTG